ACAATGTTTATGAGAAACAGCCTTGTTTCTGACGTTCCATTCGCTCTCAAAGGAACGAACATCCCTGAATGCAGCAGTTATGTGTGCCTAGGTTGAGAAGTCCACATGATGAATGATCTGGCACCTGAGTTGCACAGGAGAAAGAGAGCGGCTTGGAATGCCTTCAAGAGCATCGAAGAAATAGCTAAGAGGACCAAGAACCTCCGGCTCTGGGCACATCTCTTCGATTCCACTGTTCTTCCTGCATTAACATACGCCTCAGCGACATGGGCCCTACGAAAACAGGATGAGAACGCTATTCGGGTCTCTCAAAGAGAAATCGAAAGAGCTATGCTTGGAGTGTCATGCTTCACTCAAATGAGAGAAAGAATCCGGAGTTCCGACCTCCATCGACGATCAAGAATCAGGGATGCTGTCTCGTTTGCCAAGGCGTCGAAAATCAGATGGGCTGGACACGTAATGAGATTTGGAGATGACCGCTGGACTAGAGCCGTTACCGACTAGATTCCACGAGACGTCAAAAGATCACATGGCCGCCCACCTATGAAATGGTCAGACTTCTTCGTCAAGACCTTGAACGATTGGTTTGAGGCTCTTTGTGTTCCTAGAACGAGCAGACACCGTTGGGCTACATTAGCAGGCAACAGGAAAGGATGGAGACGTTACTAGCGCCCCCTCGAGTAAATCGATGAGTAATGGGATGTCAAGTGATCCAGTGAGATATGGCGGAGGCTTCAAGAGTGGAGGGGAGACCTGGGATGAGTGAAGGCTAGGGCGGCACCTGGAAAGGAAGCCGGGGGAGTGGGGGGAATGTTCTAGAATGACAGTCGAAGAATGAACATCGAGAAGGAGCATGCTGAATGGGTGAAGACAGGGAGAAGTGGCGAGAATGAGGGTGAGAGGTGGCGGGAGTGGGGTGGGAGGAGGTGTCTGTGAAGGGGGGGCGTCTAGATCGCCCTTGGGGGTCCCCCAGGTGGAGTGAATGAAAGGGAGGGGCTGGTCAGTTCCTCTCTGGAAGTGGGGGAGGGTCTCTGCAGGGATGGGGCGGGGGGTGCCCTGGCGGCTGGTGGTCGTGTTGGCATGGAAGGTTCTGGTTACTGTGGGATAGGGCTTAAGCGTCAGGGAATGGACTAGTGGAACAAGGCTAGGACTGGCCGGGCAGGGGGTGGCAGGGGGTGGCAGGAGTGACCGGAGACCTGGCCCTGGGTGGCCGAGGAAGAGGAGTGAGGGGCCTTGGTGGGAGACCAAGCGAGCCCAGAGGTGAGGTCTGGAGGTGGTGCTGGAGTCGGGTGGGAGGCGACGCTCAGCACTGTCCCCATGTCCCCGCCGGCTCAGCAGGGCAGTACCTGTCGTTCCATCCTCGCTCAGGACTTGCTCTTCTCAGCATAGCAGTCGGTGCTCGTGCCAGGACAGGGTGTATAGCAGGGTTGGGGACAGTGGCCGTGCCCGCTGACCCGGGAGCTCCCGAGGCCTCAGTGGGGTGGCATGGGTGACCCAGGTGGTCTCTGCCTTCTGCTCCCCATCATGCCCTCCCCTTGGGGCTGTTGGGCAGCTGGGTGCAGGGCCCTGTGGACATCCATCCTGGCCTCTGATGGCCCCCAGCTGCTGGGTGAGGACTGTCCCCCCCCAACCTGTACGCTGCCTGCTCCCCATATGACCCCTGACTTCTGACCCCAGTGGCCAAGCTAGGTCCTCCCTGGGGGTCTGAGACTTTGCCCTGCTGGCCTGCTGGCACCGTGCCTGGGGCCTGCAGCTCCAAGACGGGGTGGGGTGGGAGGCGCCCCCCATTCCTGCCTTCAAATTCCCAGGGCAGCCGGACAGGGCTCATCCTGGGGAGAGGGGTGGCCCCAGCTGACGCCCCCTCTGCCTCGGCCTAGACTTGCGTCCACCAAGCACAGCCTCCCCAGACTCTCTACTCCAGCTGCCTCAGTTTCCCACACTGGCAGCCAGGTGCTTCCCCAATCCGCACTTGGTGCACGTTCTTTTGTGGATGCCTGCGGCTTCTGTGGGGGCCACTTACCACTTCCCAGCCAGGGGGACCCCGCATCTGCCCTGCACGGTGCCCCCAGCTGGGCTTCCTCCACCCCGCAAAGCGCACACATAGGAGCCTTCCCCATGCTTGAAGGGCAGCTGCTCCCAACCCACCCGCCTGGGCTAACCTGGGTGCCAGCCCGCTCCCCTCCGGCCCCCTGCAGCCAGGGGGTGAGATTCCTCCCGCTGTCTGCCTCCTCAAGTCCTTCCTGCTAAGTCCCGGGGGAGTAAGGCCACTGCCAGGGGGTGCATCAGGGTACCGCGGGTGGATTTCACCGTGGCCCAGTTTTCCCTGGACCAGCGCCGTGGCATATCCCATGAGACTTGCCTTCAGAGTGCACAGGGGCTCTTGTTTGGGGCCCTGAGGGGACAGAGGGACAGGAAGGAAGTGACAGCCTGGTGGGGGGTGGGACCCTGGAGGGGCTGCAGGGGACCAGGGCGCCCCCACCACCACTCCTGTCCTAGGGCGCCCCTCCTGTGACCCCACCAGCCACCAATGGACCCACAACTTCGAGCAACTTCGAGCAGCTTGGCCCGTGCTCAGCCTCCCACGGAGGGGCCGGCCAGCCCAGGGCAGTTCCCTGGAATAGCCAGAGAGGAAGGGCAGGGGGGAGGCAGCCGGGGGCAGCTCTGAGGCCCAAGACCCCCATGGGGTTGCGCCAAAACTAAACACAGAAGCTCGTGATGCTGTGCCGGTGCTGGTTGTAATCGGGGGTCTCCCCGCCGGACCTCAGAAATGGGCCCCACAGGACCAGGCCCGGGGAGCGAGGGGTGGACTCCAGGAGTCTGTCTGCTGCAGGGCGGAGGGGCTGTGCGCCCCCCTCTGAGAGCCTTTCCTGAGGCTCCGCCCCATTGCCAGTGCAGGCGAGGGCCCGGGCGGGCGCTGTTCCCACCGCTGTGCCCAGAACCTCAGGGCGGTGCGTGGCATGGGGCCAAACCAGTCAGCAAGGCGGCCCCTGCAGCTGCCCAGGAATGCGGGCTCCTGTCACACCCCACCACCATCTGCATCCTGACATGCACCCAGACACACACTCACCACGGCCAGACACACACACACTCGACACACACTCAGACACACACTCACCACACACAAACACTCAGACACACACACTCGGCACAAACACACACTCACCACACAGACACACACACTCGACACATACAATCAGGCACACACCACACACACTCAGATACACTCACTCAGCACAGACACACACTCACCACGTAGACACACACTTACCACACAGACACACTCCACACACTCAGACACACACACTCAGGCAGATACACTCCCCACACAGACATACACTTCAACTCACACACACACTCAAAATACTGACACACACTTGGCACATACACTCACCACACAGACACACACACACACTCAGTACACTGACAAACACTCAGTACAGAGCTTACCACACAGCCAGACACACTCCCCACACAGACACACACTCGGACTCGCACACTCAAAACACTGGCACACTCAGCACATACACTCACCACACACACACACACACACTCAATACACTGACAAACATCACTTCCCACACACCCAGACATATACACACATTCACATTCACACACACTCAGGTGGACACACACCACACAGACACACACATACTCAATACACTGACACACTCAGCACAGACACACACCACACAGCCAGACACACACTCAGGCACATGTACTCAACACACAGACACACTCCGCACACCCCGCCACACCCAACATGCTCTCAGGCACAACACACAGACACACTCGCATGACGTCACACATGTAGGCATTCACCCCACACTCTCACTCAGACACAGTCACATGCAGACAGACACGCTCCGACACACTCGCTCACGCCGACACCCGTGCCAGCACACCCACTCTCCCACCCAGGAGCCGCAGGTTATGCTCCAGCCCCGGGTGTGCTGGTCCCAGTTGTTGGAGGCCCCTTGACCGGGGCTCGCCCAGGGCTGGGCACGTGGCCCAGAGGATGACAGGCCGCGGCCAGGGGAGCAGCGCCCAGGCTGCTTGGCATCGAGAGTGGCACCGTGCCCCGGAAGTGCCTCCCTGCTGGCTGACATGCGACTTGCTGCCTTGCTGAAACCATGGTGCCTGCTGGGCCCAGCACCCACGGGGGCCGAGCTGTGAGTCCGAGGCGCCAGCCGGAGGACTAGCACCAACAGGTCCCCCCCCCCCCCGTGCGTGGGCAGAGCCGCGGGTGGCATCCCAGCCTCCCTTTCATGGCCAGGACACGCGGCCAGTAGTGGTGTGGCCAGGGCAGCCGGTGGGCTGCAGTTTCGTCTACACCGCTCTCCCGGACATAGCTGCAGTGAGTGTGCGAGGCTGTGCCCCGGCATGTGGGCATTGTATGGCCCTGTGTGTGGGGGGTGTGATGTATGTTCCCGTGTGTGAGACCGCGTGTGTGCCCGTGCAGATGGGGCTGTGTGCGTGAGCACATGCGGGTGTGGGCATGCGTGCATGCGTGTGCCGGGTGCCTGGGGAAAGAGAGTTGCGTGTACACGTGTGCGTCCTTGTGCGTGTGCCCGAGACCTTGACTACAGGCGCCGCTGGGGACACGTCGGCACCAGCCTTCCCTTGAGGGGGTGTGTTCTCATTTCCTATCTTCACAAAGAGAAACGTATTTCATTGTGGTGGCTCCTGACGCCTTTGATGACATCTTTGACGGGAAAGAAAGAAGCGCAGGACCCTCCCCCCAACACACACCCCCACCTCCGCCACAGGAGTTCCCCACAGGAAGTGAGATTCAGACTGTGATGTTCTGTAATGTTCTGGGGTTCCTTCCCGGCTGGTCGAGGTGACTGAGCAAACAGCTGCCATGCGTGTGGTCGCTCGGTCACAGCCGGGGTCGCAGAGGAGGGCAGAGTCGGCCGGGCACGCCTTCGGGGGCCGGATGCCCGGTGCCTGGCCCTGAGTGCCCGGCCTGCAGCCCACGGCCCCTCTCCCTGTCCCCGCAGGCCCCGCCAGCAGGGGCCCGTGTGCTCCGACCTGCAGGCCCAGCTGCTCCGCTGCTACCGCCAGCACGCGCAGGAGGTGCTCCTCTGTTCCCGCCTCGTCAAGGCCTACCAGCGCTGCGTCAGCGCCGCCGCCCACAAGGTGAGACGCCGCCTGCTGGGGCCTTCCTCGCTCCTGGTCTTCACTCGGCCCGGGAGGGCCAGGCCTCGGCCACCTCCTGTCCACTCCCTTAAATGCCACTTTTACCTCTGGCCTAAAGGGTCGCCTTGGGGGTGGGGGAGCAAGCGGTGCCCAGGGTGCCCAGGCTGCAGGTCACGGGCGGGGCCGGGGATGCCCTGTGGCAGAGCCTTCTGGTTTCTGGGGTGGGAGGGGAAGAGTGCCTGAGGCGGTGGGGGCTGGGCCCCTCTCTGCTCCCCTCACCACTCTCACTCCCCCGCCCAAGCTGGGTAGTCTCCTAGCCCCCCTCTAGGAGGTTGCCACCCAGTCCCAGCTGTCAGGCCTCCCGCAGGCCCCGCCCTCTCCCAGAAGGCCCCACCCTCCCGGCAAGTCCCACCCCCTCCCAGCAGGCCCCACCCCCAGCAGGTCCCACCCCTCTCTCCCGCAGGCCTCACTCCTCCCAGCAGGCCCCACCCCTCTCTCCCACAGGCCCCACCCCCTCCCAGCACGCCCCACCCCTCCAGCTTCTGATGGCTCCGCCCTCTGCCCAGGCCACACCCCTACTGCTCAGACCCAGTCCCTTCCCTACCAGATGCCACATGTCTGTCACCTTTATCCTCCTGGGGGAAAGCCTTTTGTGGGCACCAGAGACCAGCTGCCATGCCCCTGCTGGCGGAGAGGCTGAGGTCAGAGGTCAGGCAGCCTGCAGACCGTTTCTCCACACCCTCTGCCCCACCGCCCCCCTCACAGCAACATGGCTCCTGCCTGGGCTCTGCTCATCTCACCTGTCTCCCCTGTCCCATGGCGGAGAGGGACCCCCGAGCCCACGGGAGCTGCGCCCAGTGCCATGTGGGCTCATGGCCTTCCTGCCAGGCGTCTCTGTGGCCGGGAGGTGGGAGCTGGGCCGCAGTGCTGGACACACAGGCCCGTGGGGACGGTGGATCTCCCTGTGTCCTCCCCACCTGCCCTGGCCTTTGTGGAGACACCTCAAAAGCCCAGGCCGTAGGCTTGCCGGTTCCCGCCTCACTCGACCCCGGGAACGCCGGCCCCCAGAGTGGATCGGGAAGAAGACCTCACCCATTGGCCATTGCACCAAGAGAGGGATGGCGAGAAACTCCAGTTTGCAGCCCCCCTATCTTGTGTCCCCAGCCAGGACACTGCCCGGCCACGGCCGCCTTCCCGGCCTCGGCCCTGGCTGTCAGCACCCCCAGTGGAGGCCGAGCAGGCGCCCCTCAAGGAGAGCGTGAGCCCTTCCTGCAGGGCCCAGTGCACCCCGCGCCCCATGTGCCTGTCTCACGAGATGCAGAGGACTCAGGGTGCCTTTGTGAGAGACACGCCCCGGGCCGGTCACCACATCAGACGTTGCTGACCGAGCTGGACGGGTGTTAAAGGGGCCCTGAGAGGGAGTGACAGCTGGCCTTAGGCCGAGAGCTGAGGGTGGGTGGCAGGAGGTAGGAAGCTGAGGCCGGCACACAAAGCCTGGTCTCGAGGCTGTCCCGGTTGTCTCTCCAGAACATTCCACATAGCGGGACATCTCTGACCATTGGGAGTTGGGTCTGTGCACTGGGCGGGCAGTCTGGAGGAAGGGGCCGTGTGACCTGGCCACTGCGGGCCCTGGTTGAGGAGGGAGGAGGTTGGGCGGGAATTGGGGGCACGCCTGATGGGGCCTGGGGCCACCCTTGCAACCCCGGCCCCTTGTTCTCCGCAGGGCTGAGGAGCAGCTGCGGTGTCTGGCACTTGCGGTGACGTGGAGCATGAAGAAGGGACCAGGTATGGGACCAGAGTGCCAGGCCGTGGCGCCCAGCCTTGTCCAGTGGGGACCCCCAGCCCTCCCCCCCCACAGCATCCCCTGTGCTCGACTCTGCATGGAAACCAGACCAGGGCCACTGCCCAGAGCCAATAAAGCGTTGCAATGTGTCCAGTCCATTCACTCGTGGCCAGACCGTCCCTGCGGCCGCCTCTGGGCACAGCCTCCCCCATAACGGCATGGTCCCCCCTTAGGTAGGCTCTGCCTCATGGTGGGGTGGGACATCCCCCGGCCAAGCAACTGGTGGTCACTGCAGGGCCAGAGGCCACCCAGACCAGCCCACTGGGACGAGGCGGGGAGCAGGTCCATCTGACTTCCTTGCAGACGCCTGAGTGCCCAGATGCAGGGAGAAGGGGGTAGCCCCGGTCCCCATTCGGGGGGGGGTGTTGAGAGCAGACAGGGCAGGGGTTGGGGGCAGCTCAGGCACAGGGACCTGTCCAGTTCCCCTCATGATACTGCCCTGTGGCCCTTGGGGGGGTTGGGGGAGTTCCCTGAGGGCAGCGCTGAGGGCAGGGGAGAGGTGATGGGGAGTGCGGGGTAGCCAATAGGATGCAGATCAGGGCGAGGCCTCACAGGGCAGGATCCAGCTGGGCCAAGGAAGGGTGGCAGCCAGTTCCCGGACGCCCAGCGTGGGCGCTGGTGGTTTTGCCACCACAGGGCGGGTCCCGGGAGCCGAGAAGGGCCATTGAGACCGGAGCAGGCGAGCCAGGCTCGGCGGGGGGGATCCGGCCTGGACCAGGGGCTCCCCCTCAGCCCCCACCTACCCCCCTCCCCCAGTCTGAGCCGCACAGGGCTCCGGCTCCCACGCTGGGCGCTGACCTTGGATCTCCTGTGGAATGTCACCGCGAGCGCCCGAGCCATCTGGTGCCCGCGGCCAGCACTCTGCTCTCAGGCCGGCTGCCCGGGCACCTCTGCCCAGCCTGAGTTCTCGCTCTCAAAGTCAGGGCCGGCGCAGGCTGGGGCCAGGCACAGGTGGCAGGGCAGCTGGCCAGACGGAGCCGCTTCACCGCGTGTGACGGGGACACGGCACCAGGGGGCCCCCGTCTGCAGTCGGGGCAGCCCACCAAGCGCCCGCATAAGTGGCTCGTGAATAACTCGGCGGGTCTCCGGACTCTTGGCTCGCTTCCCACTGTGTTGCAGTGATTGACTGGGGCCAGGGAGGGGGCCTGGCGGGAACAGGGAAGCCCCAGCCTGGTCAGGACTGGCGGGGTCCACTCCTGGGCAGCCGCCAGGATGCCTGAACCCACTGGGGAGCTGGAAGCCACCCGAGTTCTGAGCCCAGAGTTTCAGCTGGACGCAGGTGTCCCAGGACTCTGACAGAAAGGGGGAGGGGATGGAGGGGAGGAGAGAGAGAGAGAGAGTGCCTGGGCTTCTCTGGGGACACAAGCGAGGACCCTGAGGACCCACTCGAGTCAGGGGGAGATGGGTTGCCTCCAGGATGAGGCCCTAAGTCCCTTTGGGCCTTTTCTGGAGCTTTTCACACAGTGGGCGGCACCAGGCCACCCCTGCAGAGAGCCTCTGCCCTGGGGTTCAGGCTGTCCCCATCTCCTCTCCCCTCCCCCCTCCTCCTTCCTCCTCCTCCTTTTCCTCCTCCTCCTCCTCCTTTTACTCCTCCTCCTCGTCTTCTTCCTCCTCCTCCTACCTCCCTCTTCCTCTTCTTCCTTCTCTTTCTCCTCTTCTTCCTTCTCCTCCTCCTTCCTCCTCCTCCTTCCCCCCTTTCCATCCCCCCCCAGCCTGGAGTTGCTCACAAGGATTTCTGCGCTGGTCTGTGCCCTGGTGCCACAGCGCCAAGCAGGAGAGAACCCACCGAGGAGGGGCTGGGCAGGGGGGCCCCTGGCCAGCCAAGTCAGGGCCCATGAGGTGCCTGAGGCGCCCCCATGAGTCTCTGGCCTTGGGGTCTTGGGCTCTGTGCCCGCCCACAGTGGCCCCCAGCCTATCTCCAGCCTGTCCCTGCACTGCAGGACTCGGGCTCTGTGGCGACTCTGCCCAGGCAGCCCAGCCCGCAGCCAGGACACTTCCTTGTTCCCACAAAGTGCAGCCTTTGTCCTTTTGTTCTGGGCGGGAACTGATAAGGCTGCAGATGGTCAGGGCTCTGGAGGCCGGTGGCCTTGGGCTCAGCCCGCCAAGGGGAGGCTGGAGAAGCCCCGGGAGAGCTGCCGGAATAGGGACCCTGACAGGTCAGGGGAAAGGTCACCCAGGCCTCCTCCCCCCACACCCCTCCCAACCCTCCCCCACACTCCTCCTGACCCTCCCCACACCCCACCCAACCCTCCTCCACACCCCCAGCCCTCCCGAACACCCCTCCCCACTCTTCTCCACACCCCTCCCTACTCTCCCCTGCACCCCTCCCACCCCTCCCTCCCCACATACCCTTCCTGACCCTCCCCCACACCCCTCCTGACCCTCCTCCACACCCCTCCTGACCTTCCCCACGTGCCCACACCCCGCTGGCTTGGAGTCCAGACCTAGACAGGACCCGCTCCAGGCGCCATAACCAAGGTGGGGTCAGCTCTGGGCGGGCCCCCTGCAGTGTGGGTCCCTGCTGCCCACACAGGCCAGTCTGGTGTCTGCAGGTGCAGCGGCAGGCAGTGACACCCAGCAGGTGCGGACAGGGCAGGAGCCTCGGCTTTCCTGACCCCTCAGCTGCCCCCGGGCCGGGCTGGGACCCACTCGGATACTTCCTGGAACGGCCTGCGCAGTCCACCCGCCTGGATTTCGGAGCGCATGGAGGATGTAGGAGGAGAAGGATCTCTCGTCCTTGCCGTGAAAAAAAGCTCAGAAAGCTTTTGTCAAGTGTGCAAACACACACACACACAAACACACACACACAGAAAACAAACTGGGCACACAGTCCATGTTCATGCACATAGCATCTGGATCGTGTCTACAGGAGACGCCCCGCATGCTGGAGGGTCAAGGATAAAGGAGTTGCTGGGGCGAGTGCTCGTGGGGCTGTGGTGGGGGCCAAGCACACGTGCGGCCTCAAGTTCAATCCCCAAACACCAGGTGACCCGTCCCTTACCCCCAGCACAGCCAAGTGTCACCCTGGTGCCCACCAGCCCCACCGGTGGCATAGCTGGGCTGTGGCTCACCCCCCTGACCATTGCCCGCCGAAGCAAGAAGACCAGAGAGCGCCCCAGCGGCTGCAGAGCCCAGGAAGGCCCGGGTGGTTCTGCTGGACTCGAAGCGGCACCGGATCCAGCAAGAGGCCCCCTCCGAGGATTGGAAGGAAGCGATGGAGCCCGCGCCCAGACCGCCAGTCCGACCCAGGAGAAGTGACCAAAGGCAACCAAGGGCTCTGAGAATCAGAGCCGCCGGTGCCCCAGAGCCTGGGCAGCCGCTCTGTCCTCTGCTCCACTCCTGGACTTCGGAGCCCCAACACCAAGCTCTGGGTGCTGCCCTCCTCTCTGTGCGCGCTCTCCTTGGGGTGGGGGGGGGGGTGGCAGGTGACCCCTGCTCAGGGACAATCCAGGGCACAGGCCTCCCTGGCTGCTACTTGTCCAGTATCTGCCTGGAGGTGGATATCCGGACTCCAGGTAGGAGAGTTGGGGTGGGGGGGGGCTTGCATTTAGCGATGCCTGAAAGGGTGGGATGGAAATGTCCCTGGGAGCCCCCCCGGGAGGCACCCCAACCTCCCCCTGGGTGAGCCTGGCCTGCCTGAGGTGCTTCACAGCCTGCTGACCCTCCTTCCCAGAAAGAGTGGTTAGGGGGTGTTCCCTGGACACACCCCACAAGCCCAGAGGCAGCAGCGAGACACCAGGTCAGACCCTCCAGGGCTTGTTCTGCTGAAAGAGCTGACACTCCCGAGAGCCACTCTCCACCCCTCGCCTAGGCAGCCCAGGCTGTAGGGTCAGGGAGGACTTCCTGGAGGAGGTGAGGCGAAGCTGTGCTTTTCTTTAGCCAACCCAGAAGCCACCCACGTGCCCGTGTCCTGCAACGGGGACAGCTGAAGATCTGGGCTCAATCGATCTGCCCGTGCTGGGCAGCTATGGGAACGTGGGGGACACGAGGGATGCCAGCCAGGTACCCTGGAAGGGCCTGTTCCGAGGGCTCGCTCTCTTGTGCTCGCTCGCTCCTCACAGCTGCCCGGGCTGGACCACAGCTGTGCTGCTTTCCCGGGCACACCGGCTGAGTTCACTGCCCCTGAGATCTCATGGGGGCGCATCCCGCAGGCCACAGCCCAACCCCCTCTCCCCTCGGGCACTCAGGCCTGAGGGCTGGACCCCAAAAAAGAATCTGATCACTTGGATCCAGAAAGCACTTCCCACCCACCTACCCACCCGACTCCGGGAGTGGGGGAGGGCCGCTAATAAGACGCCTTCGGGCGGGGGACAAGGTAAGTGCAGGGCCAAGGGGGCCGCTGCACTGGACGCTTCTGGTGGTCTCCCATCCCCGGTGCCCACATTGACACTGGCGGTCTCCACAGACGCTCCGCCTTCCAGCTCCCTCTCAGGGGTCTGGCAGCCCATGAGAGACGGGGGTGGGGGCGGGGTGGCCCATCCGGGCCCCACGGACCCAGGAACCCCACCCCACCCCATGCAGGTTGCTCTTGAGGAAAAAACACTCCCACTTCATACCTGATAACCTGCCTCATTAAATTTAATGGGCTGGTTATTTCCATTAAATAAACATCAACTAATTATGGAAAACATATTTGCCGAAGTTTGACTATGGAACAGATAAACCAATTACATGGTTATTCAGCCTCAGAACACGCGCCGTCGCGGGGCGCCAGCCGGCAGGGAGGGCAGTTAGCGCGGCTGGCAGGCAGAGAGCACCCCCAGCTTCCTCACCCTCCCGAGTTGGGGGGGGCGCAGTGTCAGTGTCCCGGAAACCGAGGTTGGGGGGTCACGGACTCCAGCTCCTCACCAGCCAAGACCCCCTTGGGAGCCTCCCAGGCTGGGCCCCAGTGGAGGGCATCGGCCGGGAGGACGCTGGCAGGGAGTGAGGGGCTCACGCCCTTTCTCTGCACTCCGGGGGCTCCATGGGCCTCCCCCCCGCAATTCTGCCCCCTCCACAGGGTTTCTGTTCCCTGGAGCTTTGGCCCTAACAG